GTTGCCGGAACTGTTTGGGTCGATCAAGACCGCCATGGTCGAGTATTTTGATGAGTGCTATGCAGATCTTACGGAGACGGCTGCCGCAGCGGCTACATCGGCTGTAGCAGCGGTAGGGGGAGGAGCCGGAAGAGGTTTTCAGTATCGGGACTTTGATAATACGAACCCCCTACCTTCGATGGGGTTTAGGATCCTATTGTTGCTATGCGATGGTTATCAGATGTGGAGGGATGTTTCTTCACATGTTCATGCCCTGCTGATCAGAGGGTGAGCTGTGCTCTGAACCTTTTGAGGCTCGGGGCGAAGGATTGGTGGAGGTTGACCACAAGATCGTATTCTAATGCGCAGTGAGCTGCAGTTTCTTGGGATCAGTTCAGAGAGATGTTCAGTACTCGCTATGTTCCGCGAGTTGAGAGGGAGAGATTAGGTCAGGAGTTCCTGGAGCTGAAGCAGGATTCCGAGTCGGTGACGGAGATCACCAGGATGTACACTGAGAGGGCGATGTTTTGCCCTGAGTTTGCTTCTGAACAGGCTCAGATGTCCCGATATATGAGTATGCTGAAGAGGGATATCATGCAATTTATGTCTACGCAGAGGTGCGAGACCTTGCTGGATTTGCAGGAGGCCGCTCGACGGCGTGAGTTGGAGATTGAGTTGCAGTTGCGAGAGCAGAGGCAGGCCCCAGTGCAGTCGCAGCCAGCGCTGAAACGGTCCAAGACCGTTGATTCTAGGTTGGGAGATCAGAGCAGTCACACATGTGGGAAGTGCGGAAAGGGTCACATCGGAGTTTGTAGGTCCGGTGGTGCGTGCCCAAGTGCAGGAGAGAGGGGCATTATGCGAGGTATGTTTCCTTCTTGATATCTTGTTATCTTATGGTTGTTATGAAGTATTATATCCGCTAGTCTAGTTCACATAATTCATGGTATTGCATTCGTTCGAATTTTTCGGGTTTATGGTATTATTGAGGAATCGGTTAGTATCCTAGGGATTGATGGTCAGAATTTGGTTGTATGGACTTGTTGTTGAGTATAGCATTCGCGATGTGAGAAGTGTTCAGCTGGGAGTTGGACTCCTTTGGGATTCGAGATGTAGAATGTTCGGAGAGCAGTTTTGTGAAGGTTACTCGTTCAGAGGAAAGCAGTTTATGGATAAGGAAGGTTTGGGATAGAGATGATTATTCTAGGACGGATGAGTCACCGGTATTTGGAGGTCAGTGTTCTAAGTGGGGGAGAGTTAGAAAATTTTCAGGAGGATCGACAAGTGTTTGAGTTTGATTAGCTGTTTGGAAGTCGGCGGTGTTTTAGTCAGCCAAGAGTGTGGGCTGGTATGAGTAAGTGGCAGACTAGTGGGGGCAGGAAGCAGACCATAGATTCAGGGTAGATAGTGTTTGATGTTAGGCCTGGGTTAGGCCATGGAAAGGATTTCGGGATCGGAATGGAGTTAGAGTTCGGAACCCCTTGAGGGCTAGAACAATATGTTCGGGAGAGAGTCCCAGGAAGGATAGTTCAGGATGAGATACAATAGTCTGAGCGGTCTGGGGAGACTAAAATTCTGTGGGCATACCAGTCAGGCCGAAGGCTCAGAGAACGGTCCAGACAGGCTGAAGTCACTGGGGGGTGGTCCTAACATGCCGAAGGTTCTGAGAGTGGTTTAGATTGGCTGAAGTCCTGGTAAAGCGGTCCAGTCATGCTGAAGACTCGGTAGGTGTTGATAGATCTATATGAGAAGATGGATTGAGTATGCTGCGATGCAATGGTAACCAGTAGGTCTGGCCCCGGGTATTGATCATGTTAGTGGGAGGCGGTGCATGGACTCGAGAGTCCTTGCTGGTAGAATCAAAATAGGTGAAGTTCAAGAATAGCAATTTACCTACATGGATAGTGTAGAGTGGAGTTTAGCTCAATGGCACGAGCAAGCGTGTAAGAGTTGTTGAGTGGATTTCCTGGAAAGGAAAAGGTATGCAGCTCCGGAAGGAGTATGGGTCCTCCGTTAGGGGAGGAAGTGGAGTAAATGGATGACCGTCGTGCCTCAGTCATTAGTAGGAGGTAATGGATTGTACCGGATATACGGAAGCACCTGTGGGTTGGCTACTCATCGAGGTAGCAGCAACTTTGAGTGATGCTTAGACATATTTTCATTCTCCTAGGAAAAGGAGGAGGGTAGTGGCTCCAAAGTGAGATTTGGAACAAAGGAAGGTGAGACAGTAGGTTAACAAACTCGGGAGTAGTTTGGACCGATGCTGAAAACGGTATAAAAGGTTTCGTTCGGAGGCCAAGGGCCTAGAGACCATGATAGAGAAAATGCAGTAGTGCGATTGCAGGAACCTGAGTTGATGGGTAATCGGAATCTGCAGTGCAGGGGTTGTTCTGTAGTGTATGTTGTAGTAGGCTTCAAGGACGAAGCCTAATTTAAGTAGGGGAGAATTGTAGCACCCCGTTCTTAAAATATCTATTGATGGGTTCGCGAGATCAAGAGTAAGGGAGTTTTGGTCTTTTATGGGCAATGAGTTTTATTCGAGAAGGTTTCGTACTGGTGTATGTTGATAGAAGCATAGGGCTTCTTGCCATCTTCGCGTGGATATAAAGTTCGTCGGGAACGCATTTAGAATGAAGGAGTTATGATACTTTTAAGTTATTGACACTTATGGAGCTTAATAGAAGAAGTTGGCAAGGAGAGGCGATGCATGCATGGGACACACGGAGGTACGCCCAACGTAGAGTGACCAAATGAACGCGGGGTCTCTCGACATACGCCCAACGTACTGGATGTACACCCAGTGTACGTCTATCATTCATAAACCCTAAATTTAGGGCCAACGACTATATAAGGAACATAATGGTTCTCACCCTAGCCTCCATAAACACCCTCTCATCCTCAGAAGCCCTAGATAGTCGTTCCAACTCCATTGTTGGGTGTGTTTGACCTTGGAAAGCTTGTTTTGGAAAAGGAGAGCCAAGAAGAAGAAAGAGGAAGTTGTCAAAGAAGGATTTGGGTGGCTGGAGCTCGTAGATTTGGAAAGGGATCATCTTCTAGAGCCCTTTTGAGGTAAAAAGTCTCTGAGTTGACAATCATATTGTGTAGATCTATGTGTTGTGAAGTTTTGACATCATTATTGTCCCAAAAACCTCATCTTGATGCATGATTCAAGTTGGCTGAGATTAGCTGTCCTTTTAGACCTCAGGAGAGGTCTTGAGTAAGAAAAATGAGGTCCCAAGGGCCTGGTTGTCTGATATGTGATATAGATAGATCTTAATGGATTAAGACCTTGGATTAAGAGCTTTATGGACGTCCCAAGTAATAAAGTTTGAGACTTTATGGATCCTAGGCACATATGGTCTATGGATCTGAAGTTTGGGCTTAAGAGCTTAAGCCATTAAGAACTTATTTGGAGATGTAGTTCAGCGAGGTTACACCCCGCGTAAATGGGAGTACGCCTAGCGTAGTGGGTTTGTGTCCCGATTGCAATCCGCGAGCATCGTTGTATGCCCAACGTACCAAGAAGGGTACGCCCAGCGTACTCCCTCTGTTGAGTTTTCATTTTGGGCCTTAAGAGATTGGGCTGTTATTAGGACTATTAGAGCTTGGGTCATGACTGGACATTATGGATGGGTAATTTGGACTCACTAATTATTATGGACCTTGGATCTAGGCCTATTTGGTGAGGTGGGCCCAATTTAGTAAATTGGGCCAATATTGGGCTTTGCTTTGGACTTTTGATCTTTGAGCCATTATTGGGCTTGGGAGCTTACCTAGTGTTGGGCCTTTCATATTGATTATGTGCCTTAGTCTTGGACTAGATTGAGTTAAGGGTAAATTGGTCAATTTACCCTTAGAAGGAGATTATGATTGATCTAATGATTGTTTTCCTGCTTCGAATAGTTCGGGATTTTCGGTGAGTAGGTGATTCGGGAATCTGATTCTTCAGTTCAGAGTTTCGGCAGTTGCAAGGTGAGTTATCCTCACTATATCGACAGGGTCTAAGGCACCAAGGCCGGCCCTTTATCGGATTGTAATCCAGGTATCGTTGTTATGTTATTGCTTTGCTATGTTTGCATCCTGGTAGTTAGGGTGGTATATGTTAGAGACCTAGTTAGGTCAGTATCCTAGTTAGGATGATTTTATGTTATGTGATCTGCTCGATCATTTTGGTTGGATGTGAATTGTTATATGATTGTATGTTTATGTGCACATGGTTGCTGGACTGGGGTTGGGTTGAGGCGGGTCCTGCTTTGTGCTATAGGCCAACATACCCAGGGTGGACCGGTTATCCCGAAGGCCCAGCGAGTGGTCCGGATAGGCTGTAGGCCCCACGAGGGCGGACCAGACGTGCCGAGGCTCGGAGAGTGGACCAGGACATCTGAAGGCCCAGTACAGGCGGACCAGTCATACTGTAGACTCAGAGAGTGGACCAGGTGGGTTGAAGGTCCGGTGAGGGCGGACCAACCACACTGTAGACTCGATGGATATGGCTAGACTCGGAGGGTGGACTAGGTGGAGTAAAGTCCCGGTGCAACGGACCAGTCACACAGTACACCCGAAGTGCATGGCTGTTCTATGTTCTGTTATGATATGGCATGTTATGTGTATGGTATATGTGGTTGGTATTTTGAGGGTATCTCACTAAGCTTTCGAGCTTACAGTTGTGGTTTAAATGTTTTAGGTACTTCAGGAGACCGTGACATGGCAAAGGCGTGATAGTACCGATCCTCATGTTTATGTTTTATGATATGGTTCTGGGAATACTCTGATAATAATTATATTGAAAACCTTTTTGTAATAACTTTATGAAATTGGGTTGTTTTTGAAAAATTTAAATTGGTTGGAATTTTTAGAGCGTTTCACAACAAATCCAGATGGAAATAATTATTTTCATAGGTTTTACATTTGTTTCAAAGAGTTAAGTGTTAGCTGGAAAAGAGGGTGTAAGAGAGTAATTGGGCTTGATGGGTGCTTTCTAAAGGGACATGTGAAGGGTAAACTGCTAACAACCATTGGTAGAGATGCCAACAACCAGGTCTATCCAATTTCTTAAACTATTTTAAATGTGGAAAATAAGTTCAACTGGACTTGGTTCCTTGAGCTACTCAGTGGTGATCTAGACCTTATTGATGGAAAGGGCTTGGTAGTTATATCAGATCAACATAAAGTAAGTTTCTTTATAACATATTAATCCTTTTCAAAATACTTATAAATACTAACATGTATGATGGTCTTTGTATAGGTTTTGTTGCAATCTGTTAAAGATATATTGCTACATGTGGAGCACAGGCAATGTGCTCGACACATATATGAAATTTTAGAAAAGCTTACACTAGGTTGGAGTGTAAGAAGTTGTTTTGGGCTGCAGCTTTGAGTTGTGTGGAAGGTGATTTCAAGAGACACATGGACACAATTAAAAAGCTTAATATTGGTGCATATGAGCATCTGGTGTCCAAAGGACCCTAAACATGGTGTAGAGCTTACATGAGTACATGGTATGCATGTGAGGCAGTGGAGAATGGTATATCAAAGTGCTTCAACTCCGTCATTGTGGATGCTAGGAAAAAACCATTGATCACAATGCTTGAAGAAATAAGGATATACATCATGGATAGGTTTTCCCACATGATTGAGGAAAGCACTAAATGGAATACTCGTATATGTCCAGCAGTGTTAAAGAAGATGAAGCTTTTTTTGGAAGAACATTAGGTAACAGTCTAACATGTAACGTTTGTTTTAGTTTTATTAGGTAACACTTTAACATACTACCACTAAACTTATGGATGTAGGTTTTGGTTAATAAGTCATAGTCAACAACATGTGTTTGAAGCAAGGAGAAGATGTGATAGCTACATTGTGGATTTGGATGGAAGGCATTGTACCTGCATGTTATGTGATCTGGCTGGGATCCCATATGTTCATTCCATTGCAACCATCAAATATATACATAAAACACCTGACGATTATATTGATGACATGTTTTCCAAGGAACAATTCCGTAAGTGTTACTCTGCTAACATTAGTCTAATGAATGGTTCAAATCTATGGCCTCAAACTGAATTCATAAAGTCCTTACCACCAGTGTCAGGGAGAATGCCTGGTAGGCCAAAATTTAATAAAAGGAGACATGTAAGTGAAAATTATGGAAGAATACAAACCCCAAGAACTGTAAGGTGTGGTAAGTGCTTTGAGTATGGCCATAACCAGAAGGGATGCAAGAATGAAACCAGTGAACCTGTCCATATGCCACTATAGAATAAAGGAAGGCCAAGGAAAGAAAAATGTAAACCTAGTCAAGCATCATGTGATAGGCCTAAGTGGCAGGAACTAGTTCCTATACCACAAAAGAAGAAAGGATGGCCAAGGAAAAAGGTCCAATCTGACCCAAATCAAGCATCGGGTTCTAAATTTGTTAGAAGCAAAAAGAAGTTGGGTATAAAAAGAGGTGGTGATATTGCAGAAGATAGAGTTCTAGCTGATGAGCATGATGGTATAGATGTTCATGTTGAAGGTATGGGCTTTGAGGAACAAATGAAAGATTTTTTTTAACAAAGAAGATGTTGATAATGACAATGTGGTTGATATGATGTGCACTTTTAAAGTTGTTATTAGCCAACCAAAGGATAATTATGAGAAAGGTTATGGATTACAGGATGAAATGGATTCTATTCTTCAAAGTATTATTCATGCTAATGATGACAAAGGTGTTGAGGATGTTGAACCTAACCTGACAAAAACACTTGATGGGGTTGGAGATGCAATGGATGCTACTCTTAAAGGTACTGATGAAAAAAGTCAATCTGAGAATGAGGTTAATCTTGAACTTGAATTCACTAAAGGAAATTCAAGTGATGTTCTCCCAGAGCTGGTGAAGTTGGATCTAGAAAGTGTAGCATACCTACTTAGGACAGGATATAGAATGGCTGAAATAAAGAGCATAAGAGGGGTACAAGTTAAATTGGATGATATCAAACTAGTTGAGATGGTTACTTTTACTTCATCATTTTCTAAATGCTAACATTAGTATAAAACTGTTTATATCCTTTATTAATAAGTATTTTTCAAATTTTTATTAACACGATGTAAATGAAGTTGAGGATATTCCATATGTTGATGGTGTGGTGGAAGGAAATGAGGGTGACGGTCTTATAAATTATGGTGTGGAGGAAAATGAGGGTGACAGTGAGGGTGATGATGCTAGTAAAGTAGCAGGTGAGGGTGATGGTGATGGTGATGGTGTTGGTGAGGATGATGGAAAGGGTGATGGTGATGTTGAGGATGAAGGTAAGGGTGATGGTGAGGATGATGCAGTAGATATGGAGGGAAATGATGTTGATGATGAAGGGCATGTACCACGTAGAAGGACAAGAAAGCCCTCAGGAAGGATCATCCTATAAAATCTGAAGAAACCTTGTTTTGACAAAGATGGAAGGGGTTCCACATCTAGCTATCTTGTAGATTTGGAGTAGTTAGCTAGGTATATGGGGGAAAAAGTGGGGACGGTATCATTCGGCAATTGTATAGGTAGCCCTTTTGGTTATTTTTTGATATACACCCACTACTTGCAACATACATCCATTTGTTTAGTGTTACATTCTTGCTTGCCTATTTTGGATATTTTTTAGGCTTTTGGGTACATGCTTTGGTATACAAAATGGATGGCTGATACATGCTAGTAAAACTTATGTAATAGATGATTTTTATTAAGGTTTATAATGGATGCCCCGTATTACGGTAACCATGATGTTTTTATTTTATTTTCCAATAGATGTTAAGCATTAACAATGTACTCTTGTTAGTGCAATTCCTTTTATGCAAGTTATCCTTACATTCCATTCATGTAAAGTCTACTTTCATTATGAATATAACCAAGTGTAGTTTAGTGCAATTCCTTTTATGCAATGTACTTTCATTATACTTTCGTTCATGCAAAGTCTACTTACATTCCATGAGTGCAACTCCTTTTACGCAATGTACTTTGATTGTGAATGCAAACAAGCAAATCAAGAAAATAAGTGCGACATATACATGAAATAGCAATTAAATATCATTCTAACCAAGTGTAATTTAGTGTAATTCATTTTATGCAATGTACTTTCATTGTACTTCCATTCATGCAAAGTCTACTTACATTCCGTTAGTGAAATTCTGTTTATGCAATGTACTTTCATTGTGAATGTAAACAACTAAATCAAGAATACAAGTGCAACATATACATGAAATAGCAATTAACTACCATTAATACATTACAAAGATGTAACATTCAGTCATTAAAAAAATTATACAGATGTAACAATTCTTGATTACCTTTAATATATTGCTAGTACAAGAAAAACCAACAAACCTACATCTTAATAATCACTATTGCTAGCATCAACAATATAACCACTAATAAAGATATTATCACTTCTAACAATGGCTTGATCTGCTCTGTATGATACATTTCTAGTTCTTGACCTAGTTCTTCATCCACCCATTTGAAAAAACCACAGTTGCCTCCTTCCACCTATAACAAAATAAAATTAGGGTTCTATTACATACATTCCTCTTTTGAAAATTATAGCAGCCCAAAAATTTTAGGGAGAAATTAATACAAAAATAGAGAGGTTTTTACCTGATAAATAAAGCATCCCTAAAAGTTTCGTCCTGGGTTATCAGGTGTTCGTGAGACTGATACACCACAAACATCACCACAGCCGCATCTTATTACCTTCTTGTTCCTCATTCTTGTACCACCATTAAATCTTGATCTTGAAGACAAAGTTGTCATTTTTCCGTCGGAGACTAATTCAATTTCATGCAGCTCTGCGACTAACTATGGGGGTCGAAGTGATCAAATGCAAATGGAGATGTTAGCGAATCGGTTTTTAAAGGATAAATGTCATGTATCTTCCAGCTAAGCAAGTGGTAACCGGTTGATTAAAGGTAAACTGGTTAATAGGCAAAAAAACGACCCATTTAATGCAAGTGTGAGGCAAAAACGGACATAAATTTAAACTTTGGGCAAAGCCGTCAATTTTGTGCAAATTTGAGGGTTTTTATGCCATTAACCCTATCATCAACTTAAAACAATTGAACTGGAAACAATTGTTTAAACTAAACAGACAAAAACATATAATGATTAAAATCAAACATCACCACAGCCGCATCTTATTACCTTCTTGTTCCTCATTCTTGTACCACCATTAAATCTTGATCTTGAAGACTAAGTTGTCATTTTTCCGTTGGAGACTAATTTAATTTCATGCAGCTCTGCGACTAACTATGGGGTTCGAAGTGATCAAATGCAGATGGAGATGTTTGTGAATCGATTTTTAAAGGTTAAATGTCACGTATCTTCCAACTAAGCAAGTGGTAACTGGTTGATTAAAAGGAAACTGGTTAATAGGCAAAAAACGACCCATTTAATGCAAGTGTGAGGCAAAAACGGACATAAATTTGAACTTTGGGCAAAGCCGTCAATTTTGTGCAAATTTGAGGGTTTTTATGCCATTAACCCTATCATCAACTTAAAACAATTGAACTGGAAACGATTGTTTAAACTAAACAGACAAAAACGTATAACGATTAAAATCAAGATAAAAAAAATGATACACTAAAACTTAATTAAAAGAGATAAATAAGTTGGATAATGTGTGATTAAAAAATATGTAAATATAAAAAAATTATGTGTATAAGTTGTCGTTTCCGATCTTTTTTTAGACCAATTTTGGATCAGTCTTGAGTTCGTCTCAAAATGGTCTTTTTTGGGACCGGTCTCGAAACGATCCATTATTTTTTCGAATTGGTCAAGGATGGTCTCGAGCCGGTCTGGTCTTTTTTAGGATCCGTCTTCTTTCTGTTTGGTCTCGTTTTTGATTGGTTCACTCTCAGACTTTTTTCTAGGACCAGTCTTTTTGTTCATGTATAAATCAGTCTGTGAGTGGCTCTTTGTGCACATTTATAACATCCCTATTTTTTAGAACCAAAAAAACTTTTTCTTTACGCTTTAAAAATCAAAACATATATGTTTGTGGAAAATCTTAGTATATTAAAACATTTTGAGTACAACTGATTGTTTCAAAATAATAAAACTGTAAGGGTGTCATAATCAATACACAACATAAGTTACAATGTAAAGACCTAACGGTTCGGAACACTATTAGGTCTTGATGTGTATTTTACTACTACTACTACTTTCAAATTTATAAAATTGCACTTAATCACAACTAGACTTCTACAAAACTAGGCAAGTGTACCTATTCATTTGGTATAGGAATGGCAAGTACAGGTTATCGAACACCAGGAAAATATATATGATTTCAATAAAAAACTATTGTTACTAATTAAACTAGAAAAAATAATGTAATTGGGGTTATTTTTCTGATTTTACAAGTTCAAAAACTTATATCATCAACTTAAAACAATTGAATTGGCAACGATTGTTTAACCTAAGCAAACAAAAACATATAACAATTAAAATCAAGATAAAACAATACTTTCGTTTAGCTTTGACTCGCCTCTCATGTGGTTGATTTCTTTAATAGTGTAATAGATTATTTAGTTGGTTACTGAATTCTAATTTGATTTGTTATCTTGATCAGATTTCCTAGTATTAACAATTAATTAACGACCGATACAATTATCATGTAATTAGTGAACACACAACCGACATAAATATATTCAGAATATGAATGATATGATCTGACAATTTCTTATATATGATCAATACAATCAATCAAGCAAGTAACATGGATATCTAATGCTCTCTAACACAATTAAAGTCACTAATTAATAGTACTTAACCCTAGGATTGGTTCAATTTCTAGACCTAACAATTTAATGGTCATAAATAGTTAAATATCAAATTAATGTAATTAGAATGATTATCTAACTACACATAGCTCATATATAAGCAATAAAAATCATAAATTTAATATGTTATGTAAACAATATATCAAACACAAGTAATAACCAAGCTAATAATTCAAAGATTATCGAAATCAACATGTAGTATCGAGATTTGTCTCCACCAAACAAAAGTAAAGGGTTATTAGCCTATAGTTAACGCATAAAAATAGCTAGAAACAATGTAAACTTCACTAAACATGTTTAGGTAAGCAAACTAAATGATTAATGTGTTCTTCGTCACGTGATCTCTTCAAATCTTGTTCTTTAATCGATATATGGCCTCCTTAGGGTTTCTAAGGGTTCTTTTGTCGTACTTGGTTGCAGAAAATCACAACTCTCCTCTCCATATTGATTTAGAAATGTATTTATAGAGTTTGCCAAAATTACGCTACCACTCATGGTATAAGTCTCACCATGTCGTGGTATCAATTCCTTCATGTAACCTCCAAGTAATCCATGCAATTCATTCGGGAAGCTTCTTTGATTTGACATGTCACCACGCTGTGGCATGCATATAACCACGTCATGATAAATACTTTTTGCATGAATTTCCTTTTCGATGATTCCTTCTAGTCCTTAGCCTCCAGCCTAGCATTTTAGCTCTTTTTTCCTCGAGAATATCTTTTCTGTTATATTTTGAACTTAATAAGTACCAAATTTCTTTATAAATAACTAAAGTGTAGCTAAAAACACAAATATACCGCATAAAATATGTATATATATATATATATATATATATATATATATATAGCGATATCAAAATACCCTACATTTCTTTTTTGACTGTCCCCAAGCAAAACTGATTTTTATAACTATTATATTTCAATATCATACATCAAAACTTTGCCTATAAATATCATACAGAATAACCCAACTTAAGTTCACCAATTACGTTTCACCTCAATGCATGTATATGCATCTAAAATCCTAATTACTTCCCAAGTCTTTAATAAAATTAATATTGATAAATGCTCCCCGCTTATTTTGAATGACATTCATTTCTACATCCCTTCGAATATATCCTCAAAAGATTTTCTTAATCTCAATGTATTTTTGTTAACTTCATAAGAATACATATAATAAAAATGAAAGTTTACAACTTGACTCACTAAGCCTTTGGCTTTTGACCATTTTGCCTTATTTCTTCACTTTCTCATGATATTCATACTTTGCAAGCTTTTTATTCACTCAATCATTTTTGACAATTTTTTCTTCTTTTTTCATATTTTTCTCTCTTTTTTTTTCTTTTCTTTTTTCACTAACTTTTTTCACTTTTTTTTTCATAATTTTTTTTTCTCAACTAAAAACCTAAAAGAAAAACATATGAGTTGGCAATGACTATATAAATTTTCCTAAATATATTTCAGTACGCGAACCAAACTTTTTATGTCCCTCAAATTACATAAGTTAATATTTTTGTCTCATGATTTTACTAGAACCGAGAAGCCACAAATATACTATAAAATATTGGCTCAACTAAAATTTGGAATTTTCATCAAATTATCCAACACAAAACTAGCAAACTTATTCCTAATGCATTAATATAAAACCAAATTTTAAAAACTTCTAGATTTTTTAATTTAGATCATTTTCAAGTCTTTATTATTTCAATTTTAAACCTAGCATATATATATATATACACGTTAACATATATATATATATATATATATATATATATATATATATATATATATATATATATATATATATATATATATATATATATAGAGCTGAACTTAGTCGAGCTTGGCCTGAGCTGAACTTAGTCGGACAAAGTCCGAAGCCAAGGTCAGGCCTTCACCAACGCAAAAGACATAGATGTGACAGTTATGGTGCAAAGCAGCGCTATAATATCCTCACCAAGGGATAACATCCTGACGAGCATGGAACCATTCATAGCGTCCCACGTGCTCGTCAGACGATAGCCACGATCTTTGTAATAACTAAAAGACCCCCATCTAGCCAATGAGAAGAGGATGCAAAAAGGATGTGACGAAGGATCTTCCAGTAGGAGTCCGCCATGTTACGCCCCATGAAGGAATGTCCAACAAAATCAATTGAGGTCCACATGCCTCTGGAACCAGGTATAAAGGATCCTTCTTCCTCGTGAAGAAGGAGGACTCTCATTCCAGTGAATATTCTTTCTCTTCCCTGACAACAAACACTAACTAGATTGTCGGAGATTCATCCCGGGAATCCCTCCCGTACGTCGACTAATGATCTACTTTCCATTTTTTTTACTGTGAGATTTGGAGAGGGCATCTACACTAAACCCACCGGAAATCTCGGCACTACCGTCTCCAATATATCACAACATTTGGCGCCATCCAGGCGTATGTCTAGAACGATACACTCACGAAACAAATCCATAGAGCAATAATGGCAGGTGAAATCCTAATAGTGTCTGGAATACTGGAGAAAAGTCATTGCATCCGATGTAGTCACTAGAGGGAGGACAACCTTCCGTTCAAGAAGAACACACATCGAACCTCACACCAGTTTCAAAAACTCCACTAAGCTCCATAACAGTGACGGCAGGAACCCCTGCGGCCATTCTATGGCTCCCTGCAACCGAACCAATCCAACAAGTTGCAATCGTAACTGCAACTCCACAAACCGTTGCAACATAACCAACACGGACCCCTGTACCACAACAATAGTCTCTCCCGCACACCTCCGACCCTATGACTTGGATCCCCCACACCATCCAACCACAACCAGAAATTTCCTCCACAGTCTACCCATACACCACCATGGTAGGCTTGCCCCATATGCCGCTCTACGTACAATAACAACAACCAATCTTCAATTCATCTGTGTAGCAGATCCATGGTTTCATCCATACACCAACTCAACCACAAGTCGCAAGCATGCAGATCCTAGCAGGTTAGGGATCAAGTTCTTCCAGATCTGGCGTTCAGTTCCCAGTTCAATCCAAAGTCAATACCCTCGTAGCAGCTACTCAGTAGTTCAACCCGAATGCGCAACAATACATGGTAGCGCACTCATACACGATTCCCCAATAGGGCAACACGACATCCAACAATTTGGGCCGATACCATACCTGCCTCTGTATCAGCCAAATATCTCGCTGACGACTATGTATAGCCAGATGTATGCAAGCCCGTACCAATTACAACATCACATGGCTTACATTGGGATGTTATCCTCACACATGGACAATCCCATGCGAAGTTCCAACTCTAATTTCAGTCACAAACTGCTGAAGTATGAGATTCCGAACACGGCGATGATCCCACATATACCTAAATATAATGGTACCACAGATCCAGTTGACCACATTGACAATTATGAATGGACGAGAACTTCCCTCAAGATGGATCATCTCTTCACTTACACTTATTTTCCTTGCACCATCACTGGAAACGATGGCAATTGGTTCAAATATCTCAGGCCAGACAACATCATCAACTTTGAGCAACTAAAATACCTTTTCCTCAACAATTTCATACAATTGAGGAAAGGCAAGGGGATGCTAACTCTTTAATGGCATGCAAGCAGAAATAGGATGAATCAATCCATGAATATTATGAATGGTTCACGCTGGCGGCATTGAATGTTCCAGGACATGAACAGTTCTTAGCAACAGGTGCTTTTGCCCAAGGTTTACTCCCAGGGCCCCTATCAAAGAAGATGTAGGAAATCGATCCCCGATCCCTAGATGAACTCAAGTTCCGTGTTGAAAAATATCTGAGGCAAATCGAAGGGGAAGAGTGAAAAGAGGCCAATATCAAAGCTTTAGCCAATGCATATGCAAAGTAGGAGGAAGTGGTGTTATGGCCAATCTCGGCCCATAAGGGAAGGCAAGATGGCGACTAGTAGCGGCAAAATTTTCACCCTCAGCATATATCTAGGCGGTATAGAGCATTGTACAGGGACGATAGCAACAGCGGTGATACTAACGTTCACACGATTAACAAGGCCACAACCAAGGAAAACAAAGACAAACCCAAGTTCTGTGTGTACCATAAAAGCAAAACTCAAGATACAAACAAGTGTATAATGCTAATGAGGGAGATTGATGAATTGAAACTAGTAAGAAACATTGTTGATATAACAAAAGACCTCAGGGAAAATTTCGATGAGGATAAACATCAGCCCAAAAATCAAAAGGATGGAGGAAGAGACTGAGAAAAAAGGGCAGAGATACTCAACATCACAGAGCGTCACCCATGCACCAACCGCCAAAGCCGATATCCCAATGCAAGGCCATACCACTAAAACGTCGTTAACATAGTATTCTCGATGAATGACCCAAGGCTGGAGCAATAGGATCCCAATGATCCATTGCACATCACCGGTTTCGTTATTCGACACTGTGTTGAACAAGTTTACACCGAAAACGGAAGCCGAGTCAACGTGATCTATTAGCACTGCCTTAGCCAATTTCCCATCGAATGGAAAGTGTACCTCCAACCACCGCGCTAGGGACCGCTAGTCGGTTTCACTGGTCAACGCATCTAGAAAATGGGAATAGTCAGACTCCCTTTCCCTCTAGTTAGCTATTACGGGGCGAAGGAAATAAAAAGGGTGCTCAATTTTTCGGTTGTCAACTACTCGACTAAACACATCATTCTCTTATGTCGCTTTGGGCTTTTCCAATTGCGAGCAATTCCATCTACCATCCACGACGTCATCAAGTTCAACACAAGTGATGGATCATCCACGATAAATAGCGACTAAGCCAGCCAACAAGTGTGATGCTCAACGAGAAGCAAGATAGGAAACCCAATTGTGTCAAAACGGTAGTCACCAAAAGATAGAGACCTCCCACTGGAAATCTACTAAAGCACAAGTTCCAACCCAAGAATCAAGGAAGAGATGACAAGACATGTTTAGTCAGCTCACAACCCCTCCTCTATAAGAAGAAACTAAAACCAATCCAAGGATTGATTAACCAAAATACGGGGTGTGAAATACACAGCAAAGAAATTCTCGCCCTTAGGCGAATGCACTTGTCTGGCCGATAATTGACACCCATGCCAAGCCCTACACATGAGCAATTTCGAATCCTGAGAAAACCTTGTTTGATGGAAAACGTGAACCAAAGTTCCTCAAAACAGAGGAGGTGAGCACAAGAAACACCAACAATAGGAGCAAAATGTTATTCCATATGGCACGTATGTCTTCCCAAAGAAGAGCACCAACAAAGGCCTTCAGAAAGCAAAATAGCTCCTCTGGTAATTCAACACACTACCTGGGGTGTAGGTATACGGAGCCCCACCAATGGAACTCTCACCCAGCCAAGGGGAGGTGCCTTCCATGTTTGCAGTGCTTGTCGGGTCAAAGAGAAAGGAAGGCAACAACAACCCCAGAGCACGTAAAGCGACACATTGTTCCCCCACACCGGGCCCCGCCAGGGGAAGCAAGAGGAAGCCTCGACCCATGAATGCCCATCTACATTAGGTGAAGAAAGGATGTCACCGCCCAATAAGGAGCATGATCTAACTTCACACAGGATAACCATACTCCTACTGCTAACGCGAAAGTTGGGCATGCGCCTTAGCGCTTAAATACCAAGTGTCTATCAACTTATGTCCTTTCTTTCATTATAAAAAGATTGATACAATTTGCATTTTGAAAGAGCTTTCCAGAATTATGTTTAAATTGCAAAAAAGTAAAGGACGTCACCACCCAATAGGGAGCATGGTCTAACTCCGCATAGGATAACCATACTCCTGGAGCTGACACGAAAGTCGGGCATGTGCCCTGGCACTTAGATACCAAGTGTCTATTGATTTGCATCCTTTCTTTTATAATTTTCATTTCAAAAAAGCCTTCCAGAATTATGTTTAAATTGCAAAAAGTAAAGAGGTTGTGCATATTTTCCAAGTAGCAACAGTGGCTGATCACCTACGCTACTTGAGCAAAATCTATGCAAGAATGCAATCGTAGGTATTAATAGAGTCATAATCTTTACCTACAATGTGCCCATAACATCTCATAGCTAAGAATGTACAAATTCCAATTAAAGGCACAAGAAAAAGGGGTTCTAAAAGGTTCATAACCTTTCCCTTGATAATACAACAGTATAAGGCCTTGAGGCCACAATCTCGGCCTATGTATTGGCAGCTAGACCATACAGTACAATCCTCAGTAGTGGCTAACATCTTGTGGCTTAACACATTAAGCCCGACTGAACACATGAATCAACGAAGCACAACTCAGTAGTAGCAGCTATACGATGTTTGTGGCACACTAGCCAATACAATGTAAACCCTAGAATAAGGGAAAATATACAAAAAACAAATCATAGTAGAAACGTCGAACAGACATAACTTGAATTTATTACAGGAAAAATAAAAATGTACATACACATAGGTACAAAAGAAGTAAAAAGGAAGAGATCACTTCCATGACAATGCATGACAAAATGTACAATCCCTTCCCTTGCAAACAGTGCATGGGAAAGGCAGATCTATTTCAAAACCAACAAGGGGCATATATAAATCAGCCCTCAAAGTCTGAGGAAGAACCTCTCAGGCTTCTCTTGCCACAAAACTGGCGGAAGCCATCATAATCTAACTCCCCTAAACAGAAGAGGCTAGCAAACTTCGTCTCGACAAAAGACGTAAGGGCAGTGTTGACTTCCTTGGTTCTGCTCGTCACTTGGCCAGGACTCGGAACTTCGTATTTACCGGAAGATGTGGAGCACTCACTCAGTTGTCTCCCCTTCTCGAACCCAACTGCTTCATAAGCCTCCCAAACATCTTGAACTCCTTTGGCAAATTCAGTGATCTCAATGACTCTAGCACTCATTGCAATTCACCCTGAGCAATGACACCATCAACACGTGCTTGAGCCAGTTGACGTTGGCACCGGGCCAATTTATTCACCAACACGTTCTTTTCTCGGGTCAGAAAGCTTACTTGGTCCTCAAGGCGCTCTGTTCGGTCCTCCAGAGTGAGCACATGCTCCTCCAGAATGGCTTTCTCGTTGGCCACAACACAATTCTATTAAGAGAGAACACAACGCTCAAACTCCATATCCCGGAGTTCCTTTTTCAGGCTTACAATAGTATTGCATAAAGGTCTCAGCCATGCTTTGGTCACCCCGACATGGCAAACCCGGTCGGCGGCTACACCCATCAGAGCAGAAGCCTAGGCCGCAACATAATGAAGGTCACCAAAAACTTGAACCCTAGATTTGCCCGCAAGAAATCTCGTCGTAGCTGGGGAATGATCATCGAAACTCCATTCCTGGGCATTGGTATCATCCGGCAGTAAAGAATGCCCAGTAATTGCCCAGCCTGGGGCATAAGCTGTGGAACATGAGGAGCTAGGTATAGTTACTATTTTTCATTTCACTAAAGGTTTATTTGACTGATTGGATCCCCTAGGTGAACCCAATGCACTCCCAAATGTGGAGTCAGAACTAAGAACGATCGGGGAGGTTTTAGCAAATGATAGAGGAGGTGATGTCGTAGAATCAGGGATCACCACTTTATTTTTCTGCACAGACATAGAGAACTTGTTGCCAACAACATCCCGGATGCTTCCAAGAAGCCTGCTCATAGATACAGTCTTGCTCACTTTACGAGGACGAAGACCCAGATCATCGGATTTTGTCTCGTCGTACGACAACGGCACCACACATACACTTTGCCTTTTTTGGATAGGAGCAGTAACCCTCCCAGCTTGTGCACCCACAGATGAACAAGAAATGATAAAATTCAGTGGATGAGCCAGGGAAACAACTCTAACGTTCGCTCGGGAAGGCAATACATGCCCGCTAGAACCAGCATTTCCCTCTTCCACAGAGAGAAATCCAACTAGCTCTCGCATATGCCTTTCAGATATGGGCGGGGGTAAGAGCCTCTACAAGATCGACCTCCCAGTGATAGAGCCTACCCCGATAGTGGCTGCGCAAGTCCATCTCCAAAGAAATCTCGACTTTAGCACCTACACAAATAAGAATTAAATATAAGGACTCATCAGACACCCTGATCTTCCTCCCATTTAGTTTTTTTTCTAAAGAGGAGGGGGGTGGGGGAAGGGAAGAAAGAAACAAAAGAATATTGCATCTCACGAAGAACAATTGAGCCATCTTCCCGCGGGCTCGCCAGGCGGCACTCATACCACCTGCAACGAGAACAGAATCCTCCCAGTTCTCTCTAACAATGGTAATGCCGCCTAGTCACTTTTCGAGGGTTAGGTTGCTCCCAAACAAATTGGGAATACGATCAGGGAAGTCTAGTGTTTTGCGATACCCACGCCCCAGAAGGTCCCAGTTAACCCAAAGCCATTGCCTTTGCTAATTTTTCTTCGGGATGTCTTGTTCAGAGATTAATTGATGAATGCCACGCCTTTTTGCCAAAATACGAACACCATAATCCATAGTCGGACAAAAGAAGTAACTGAAAACCCAGAAGGTGTTGATACACCCAAAGATCGACAAATCAGTTCAAAATCGACGATTTTATTGACGGTGCTGGGAGTTAACTCGTCGATGGAGAAGCCATATTGGTCTACGATCATGTTGAAGAAATTAGATGTCGGCAAGCGCAACACCTCTTCGAATAAAGGGATCAGAACTCCCACCTTCCCTTGAGGGCAGTCATGGATTAGTAACCCCTTTGCTGAAATCATTACACCGTGCTCTAGTAAGAAACCGAAACGATCCTGCAGAAGTTGGAATTCCTCCACATTAAGGACTATACCATGACGATCCATTTTGTAGAACAAACGAATGATAGAAAAGGAAAACTCGCAGAATATCCAAGACGAGGTAGAGGAAGAAGATATAGAAGATAAGGATGAATGATCTTATAAGGGGGGAACTTTAAAGACAAATTTGGCAGCATGAACCGTCCCCCTTTTCTTGGGGATGACGTACGATGATGACACTTTCAAAAACCCGTTCAGTTAGAAATAATCCCAGGCATACACGTGTTGAAAAATAGGTTCGAACGTCGATGCTATCAGGCCAACGCAAACTCCTACAAACCTAACGGACTTGTTAATGTATCCCTTAGAGGGAACGTCAAAAAGAGAAGTCAAAACTAGTACCGAGCTTGGCTTGAGCTGAACTCAATTGGACCAAGTCTGAAGCCAAGGTCAGGCCTTCGCCAACGCGAAAGACATAGGCGTGACAATTATGGTACAGAGCAACGCTATTATCTCCTCTCCAAGGGATAACATATTGGCGAGCGTGGGACCATTCAGAGCATCCCACCTACTCGTTAGACGATAGCCACGATCTTCATAATAACTGAAAGATCCTCCTCTAGCCAATGAGGAGAGGATGCAAAAAGGACTTGACGAAGGATCTTCCCGTAGGAGATTGCCATGTCACACCCCATGAAGAAATGTATAACAGAATCAGTTGAGGTCCACATGCCTCTAGAACCAGGTATAAAAGGGTTCTTCTTCCTTGTGAAGAAGGAGGACTCTCTTTCCAGTGAATATTCTTTCTCTTCTCTGAGAATAAACACTAACTAGATTGTTAGAGCTTCGTCCCAGGAATCCCTCCTGGACGTCGACTAACGATCTACTTTCCATTTTTGTACTGTGATATCATGAGAGGGCATCTACACTAAACCCACCTGCAATCTCAGCACTACCGTCTCCAACATATCACAATAGTATATATATATATATATATATATATATATATATATATATTAAAATCTAGCATGCTTTATATCATTTTTTAATCCCATACCCCACATTTATTTCATACAATGCCCTAATTGTATGCATAAAACAAATAAAGGACATAAAAGCTAAAAGGAAGAAAACTAAAGAAACTCCCCTATGATAGTAATCGCGAGATAGAAATGATTGTTGCCGGTTGGCATTGACATCTCAATAAAAATAGCTAGAAATTGGACTCTGGACTGCTACAAAAAATGCCGAAAAAATTCTTTAATAAAATTTACTTGGCAGGTGGTGCATAAAACATCAAAATTGGCAATGAAATTTTACCACGTTGTGATAATATGTTGACCACAGCATGGCATCAAGATTGAGATTGTGATCAAAAGTAACACCACGATGTGGCATCGTAGAATTCATGGAACTGTTGCTCGTAATTAAAAATCTAGTTCGTGTTGGTATAACACTCCCTACTTGTATCATAAAGAACAACTTACTCAAATTAAACTCTGCTCATCCGTATAATGCTGAAATCTTTCCTGTTCTCGACCGCACCCCACACTTGTTAATCGTCGTGCCTCTCAAATATAATAGTTGAACTCTCACGTCCTGTTTGATGAATTTATTGGCAGCATACTAATCATTATGCGAGATCAAAATAAAAACAAAGAGTAACAAAAAGGAAAATCATTTGGTTACAACCCCAAAAATAAAAACTAAAAACGCACCAAAACAAACTAAATAAAAATAGTTTTAAACATACCAAACCAAACAAATAAAAACATAATATAAAAGGATAGTTTCACTCGTCATGATCGCGTGTACCCGATGTTCTGGATCCATCATCTCTAGGTGGCCACATCTCGCTCCAAGACGGACAATATGGGTAGTTATTACCCAAAGTTGGTGGTTGTGCAATGCCAAAATGTTGTACCATATGCTCTATTGTTCCACCGATCCAATTTATGCTCACGTGAAACCTATCCAAATAAGTCGTCAACAATTCATGCATGCCTCCTAATTTATTGACTAGATCATTGTATGGTATAACATGTCTATCACCCACATTCTTGACTATTCTTATTGTTTCCAGACTTTTGACCATGAGATTCGACCCAAAACAAATGCAAATGTACGAGTTAAGGCCGATTACAATATTCCATATGATCTAGCGAGATGTGAAACTAAGTGGCCCCCACAAATTGGACTCCTTTCTCGATGTCTAGTGGCCCAACTATAAAGGAAATGAGTGATGACACAAGGAATATTACAGAATGCTCCTCAATTAATGATCCACAACATATAAAATAAATCCTATTTTGGGACCTTGTTGGTTCCTTTTTTAGATTCACACTAAATGTAATAAGCCTATGGATAAAACGGTGAATCGGTGACTGGATTTGGCTCTCTTGGGATGTTCTAGGTTTGTACATTCCATTCACTATACTTTCCCAAAAATCATATGAAAGAACTGCATCGCGAAAATCCCGATGTCCAGCTATCAAAAATGATGCATATTATAGGCTTCTCAAATCTTATTTACTATAAATATTAAGTTGGACTCCAAGCTCAGTGAAACTACATTATTAGGTTTGCCCCCAATCCAGATTTGTAATTGTGCTCTGTTCATAACATCTTCATAATTTTCCTGAAAGGTGATTTTTGAAAGGAATTCAACAGAAAACTCCTTGTAAACCGATTCACAGATGTGAGAAGAGGTTCCACCACCCATTGCACGAAAATATAAACTTGTCTCTAACATATAAGTTCTCAAGATAAGGTTTAAGTCGGTCTATTACATCTATGTTAGTCCACCATGGACAATCAATGGTCGGACTTACCATAATTTCTATTTGATAAAACCACCAAACGTGGTTATTGTATCGGGTCAATCGTTCAGCCGATACATTGGTCAGGAACCGAAAAAATGGGTACAAAGGTGGTGCGTTCACGTTCTCTTCTGGAGGTTGGGGTTGTTGCTGAGTCGGAAGCCTTCTTGGTGCCATTAAACCTGGAAAATAAAGAAAATAACAATACCCAAAATCCAGATTAAACAATTAAAAAAACAAAAAAGATGTCGAATCTCCTAGAAACCATGTCGTGGTGAATGCTTCACCATGTAGTGACGCATCTAAACGAACATGGGTTCTGAACAGGACATGTTGTAGCCACAAATAATCCGTAATACTCAAGGGGTTTCATCTTAAGGCATGTCTAAAGCTATCTAACACATCATTCATAACAATTAAAACCCCAATTTGACAAACCCTAGAACTAAAATTCAGACCATTTTTACCAATATAATCGAACCATGACTACATTAAGCAAAGTAGAGCAAAAAAACCACACCTTAAAGGAGGATTAAGTGAGAAAAGATCAAGAAAACCAATGATTTTGCAATTGAGATGAAAAGTGGGCTTCACGTCGTGGGAGTTTTTGTAAAAAAGTAAAAGTGAAACCAAGTTAGGGTTTTAAAGACTTAGCTTATCCAACAGTTCCCACGCTGTACCAATAGGCTCACCATGTTGTGGTGCGCTTTTACTATTTGTAGAGACGGGGTTAAAATAGACACACCGACGTGGTCATAAGGGTAACACGATGTGGGTTTCGAAGTTTTCTCAAGCCAAATTTCCTTTTTCAAAAACTCATTTTGAATACTCCATAAACTTGTTTTCGGCTAGCCCCTTATTGGAACAATGTCAGACCAAAAACTTAAACGAGTGAAATGTATTTAAAACTAAAAAACGAAAAACAAAAATAAAGATGAAAAATAAAGGAAAACAAAAACCAAACCGCATGTTTCCTTCTGGAAACGCTTATTTTTGATGAGTCATGTGCTGGACTCCTTCCTGCTCCATGTTATTACAGTTTGGAGTGGAATTTCCTTATTTATGTTCATCTCGAGCCTTTTTCTTTTGTAAGTCGCAACTCGCCTCTTGTAGTATTTCTTCGTGTTTTCTTTCTTCTTCGATCTTGTGCTTTCTTCATGTTTTCGTTTCAATCCTTGACTCGCTCTAGCTTCACCCTTCTTATTTTCTTTCTTTTCATTCTCGACCTTCTTTACTCCTTCGACTGCTTTTTTCAACTTCTTTTTTTCCTAGCGTCTCCCTGTTTTCTTCATTTTTAGCTCATAACTCTTGATTCCTCCTTGGCTCCATGTAACATCCCAAATTTTGAGTCCAAAAATTTTGTTTGTAATTAAGTAATTTATAAATTTGTTTATTACAAACATTGTCAATAACATATCAATCCATAAACCATCATGATCATGTCTCAAAATCAAAACATTGAACAATAGTATAAATCAGAGTACAATCCTAAAAAACTCATTGCGGAAATCATGTGTGTGTGATGTGTTGCTACGTCGCCGACTCTTTCCCCTTGGCTGAAGAGGTACCTGAAACCAAAACTGAAACTGTAAGCACAAATCTTAGTGAGTTCCCCCATCATACCAAATACCATACAGTCATACATGCTGCTAGGCAATTTTGGGGTGTCCGACCTACCCATGTCAAGCCATTCTAGGGTGTTGACTACCCGTGTCAAGCCATTTTGGGGTGCTGACTACCCATGTCAGGCCATTCTGGGGTGCCTGCCTACCCTCCGGTGTATCTCACCCGGTCACGGGGACTATTTCACCCCGACTGCTATCACATAATAACATATCATAAACATGTTTTCAGACATATCTGGGGTGTACGACCTACCCTTCTGTCCTAATAACCGATCAGGGGACTATTCCCCTCCTACTACCACTATCACATAGAACATCTTATACTGGAGCATAGAACGTATCATGTAACAACAAACCAGAAAATTATCACAAAGACAATCATATTAACTGTAATCAACTAGTAGTGGGTCGGCCTTGGTCCCTTAGACCCACTTCTACTGGAATGTAAAACTCACCTCAATGTTGCGTAGTATCCGAACTGTCCCCAGCGTGGAAATCGACTTCCCCCGACTCCTCAATCCCTACATGACAACTCTATTAAGTCATCAATTCATACTCACAACCCTCATAAAGGGTCAACCCAAATCCTAGTCAAAGTCAACTTTGGTCAAAGTCAACCTCC